TTGAATTTTTTTATAAAAATACATGAACAAATAGATTTATTTTTATAACCTTTTTTTTAATAAATATTCACTCGTGGTGATTATACTACATAGACATAGATTAGTAATAAAAAAATAGATAAAAAAAGTGTTGCATAAATTGAATTTCTAAAAATAAAATAATAAAATAAATACTAAAATAATTCTTATAAAGATCTCTATAATTAAATCGAATTCATTTTCCAAAAATATGTATTACATGCTTTAAGCATATTAAGTTCTTATAGAACTTTCATATAGATATCATTTTAAGTGAACAAATAAGTTATGATCACATCCATTAAATGCATGTATATGAAGTTTTTCATATATTTTTCTAGGCTAACGAGATAATGAAATATAATTGCATCCATCACAAGAGAATATGTCTCATCATAGTCAATGTCGAGTTTTTACGAAAATCCTTGTGTTACAAGTCTTGCTTTGTGTCTTATAATTTCATCTTTCTTATTTCGTTTTTGCATAAATACAAATTTGTATTCTATTGGTTTAACATCTTCGGGTGTTTTGACTATAAATTCAAAACTACTCATTTTGTAAGGGAATATAATTCTTTTTGGATTGCTCTTTTTATTTAAGCCAGCATCTCTACGTTGACATTCTTTAATAGATTTAGACTTAAGATCCTTATTTACATTCAAAATATCGATTACAATATTATATGCAAAAATATTATTAATAAATGTTTATTTTTTGTCCTATTTTCTCCTTATATTGATATAATTTATTAAAATCTCTTGATTTTTCTAAAGCATTTGGACTTCTTCTGCAAGCCTATTATCATAAATAACTTAAACCATTTTTTGAATATTTACATCCTTTATATTTTCATCTTGATTAATTGTCATTTTTCTTTTAAAGATTTTTTTCTTTAAAATCGATCGGTCTTCAACGCTTCATGAGTGTTTTAAATATATTTTCTATAACATTAATAGATTTTCTATCTTGGAACTCAATTCTAATAGGAGTATTCTCGGTAAGACATGCATCTTTGTTACTCTTTTTGGATCTAAAAATGCATCTTATAGTTGATTTACAAAATTTTGTAAATAACTTATCTTCCGAACTTCTAGTTCACATTATTTTTTTATGTGAGGATCAAGATGATGTAAAGATAGAGTACTCAATTTAACCTCTTTATATAAAATTTTTAGCTACTTATTTTGCTTATTCTCTCCTTCTAATATTAGAAAAGTTGTTTCATCAAAATGGCGAGTTGATAAATCGAGTCTGTAAAAATATTCTCAATTTATGGTTCAAGATATTTAATTATCAAAGAGGATTCAAATCTAAGATATATTTTCAATCTCCTTTAATGGCCCATTGTAGCTTGTTGTAGAGGAGCAATAGGGATATATGCTACAAAATTAAAAATTCTTAGATGATAAATATTTGGTTCATGATTAGAAACCAATAGAAGGGGAGAATTTTTGAAAACTTATGGATTTGATACGAATAAGTATTGTTGCATGTAAAATTACATGTCTCCAAATATAAATAGGGAGTTTTGTTTTCATAAATAATAATTTAGCTATCAATTAGAGCTTTTTAATAAATAATTTTGCTAAACATTTCGAGTATAAACATGAGTGACAAGTCTGTTTAACATTTATTCTAATAGCCAATCAATAATCATTTAATACCATAATCTAGAAAATATGCTCGCAATTGAATTATTTGAGCTAGCAACCTAAAAAATGCTAGGTTTTGAGTAGATAATAAGCATACATGTGACCATATTGTGGATAAATCTATTAAAATCATAAAATATCTAAATGATTCACACGATTGATAAATTAGTCCATATATATTACATTGAATACATTCTAAAAATACTCGAGATTTAATCTTAATTTTACTTGGTGATGACTTAATAATCAACTTATCTTGAAAACATGTAGAACATAAAAATTGATTAGATTAAAGAATCTCTTAGCTCTTCGATAGATATCCATATGAATTTTTAATAATTTTTTGCATCATAAAATACCCAAGATAACCCAATCAGTCATGCCATATAATAAAAATATTTGAATTAGTAAACTTCGGTTTACTATAGCATTTTTTCAATTATTCAAATATTTGTAATAAAGATCGGAAAAGAAAAAGGGTAATTTCTCTAATACATATTTACTACCCGATATAATAATTATAATATATAAATATTTAATATTTTTTATATTTATTGTCTTGATACGATATCAATTTAGATGAATATCTTTGAAACTCAATAAATTATTTTGAAACTTTAAAGAGAGTACTACATCATTTATAATAAAATATGTCCTTTTAGGTAATAATATATTTGCCCTTCAAAAGCTTTCAAATTATATTCTTTCAAGTAATAACATATTCTTTCTTCTAGAGCTTTTAAAATTTGTCTCTTCAAGTAATAATATATTAGTTATTTTAGAGCCTTCGAAATTTATCATTTTAGGTAATAATACATTAGCTCTTTTAGAGCCTTCAAAATTTGTCTCTTCGGTTAATATAATCGCTCTTTTGAAACTTTCTATTAGATTGATGCTATTAGATATAATATTAACTCAAAATAAATAATTAAATAAACAAAAAATATATATTCTTCATAAAAATAAATAATTTTGTAATTATCACTATGTAATATAAATTATAAAAAAATTTAAAACACCTTATTTATAAATAAAAAAAGTTAACAAGTTATCAATTTCAATTATCATCATTTTGATATATAAAATTGGCTTTTATATTTTATTTCCTCTTTTTCAATGAGGTTTAATAAAGCTCAATAAGGTGCTTTGACATGCAATAGGTACACAATCAACGTCCTTTCATGCAACATCTATAACATTTATTTTCAAAATGCTCGACTTGATTTATTTTTTACTCTTTTCCGGTTTTTTATATAGTTTATTCATTTCTCGTAGTAAAGTGTATTATTATGATTATCATGATTATAACGATAATTATTCCAACAAGACTATAGTTATGTCTACCTCTTCATCTATGATCAAAATTATTATAAGTTGTCACATTCACTTTAAGGAATGAAGTAGATCTAGTCGGGTAGAATTCATAATTTTTCATCAATAGCTCATTATTTTTCTTAGTCACAAGTAAGTATGAAATCAATTCATAATATTTTTAAAATATTTTTTTCTCAATATTGCTACTATAGAAGCATATTCGAGACATGAAAAGTAAAGAATATTTTCTCATTATCAAACACCCATGATCAATAATTCTTATCTAAAATGTCAATGGCTAAAAAATCAAGTTTTGTGAGGTTTGATATAATAATAAAAATTTACAATGCAAGATATATAATAATTTTTGAAATAAGAACAAACATAATAATAAAATTTAACATTTTCAAACAACATACATTAGATCATTAGATTTAAAGTAAATGATAAATTAGATACATACATCTTAATGATAAAAATAATTTAGATCTTAGAACACTCGTGTAGAGAAACAATCCAATTATTGAAACAAATGATTGAATTTTTTTATAGATACATATATCGCGGTCTATTATCTTGGTTGGTTAGAACTTCATGTTAATAACATGTTATGGAAAAAAAATTATAACAATAATAGAATTGAAGAGAAAAATGATCCCAGCTCTACAATACCTTGTTTGGATCTACCAAATTTGCTTTCCAGGCAGAAAGAGCATCCCATGTTGAGCAAGCAAATTAACTATCATATAAGTAGCATTAAACTATCATATCCAAAGAGAAAATTTCGGCTTTTAAATGGATTTGGTATCGTCGTTTATAGCCCTAAAATTTGCTTGGAAAAATAGGTGATATATGTTTCGGTTTTGATAGCTTCTATGTTGCAGTGTACAACGGCAATAGCAACAACCCATAGAAAACAAGCTAGAATTCTTGCCGATGCCATCAGGAACGATTAGAGAAATCTAAACAGGGACAGATCAAAGTAATTTTGAGTTGCATTTCCATGCGGAAACTTTGTTAATTGATATGTATAGATCGGACTTGGGCAGTAACCTCCGATCTCTACATACAATAAGAAATGAAAATCTAAAATATTAGGTTTGAACCGATCCTTAAAACTTAAGTGAAGTTCTGAGAAATTTCACAATTTAATTTTTTGGACCAGATTACTTTGGACAGATTGAAGTGCCCAAAAATCTCGTTAAATTTTAAAATCATGTTTGGACAGTACGAACTTTCGGTATTTACTAGATTGCTGTTTCACAGCTGGATGAAGAAGCATGTTCCAAGGCACTTAGACATAGGAAAGGTTGATGGTGCAATCAGGAGTTTGGGTGTCGTAGTTTCCTTATCAGTAAATAAAATAAAATAAATAAATAAAAATAAAATCATTGTCTGAAGTCTCCATGAGGCCTATCTGTTTATTTATTTTATTTTATTTTATTATTTTATTATTTATTTATTATTATTATTATTTCTTTTTTGTTTTGGTTGTAGAATGAAGAATTCATGTTTCTTAATTTAATCAAAGAATACTGCAATTGTAGACATATGTCCAAAATTCCTTTCAGTTTCAATAGAATGGGGTAACTTTGCACTGGAGGATTTCTTAGTTGTATACTGCAAGGCTTAAGCCTCTTGATGAAATTAAAACGAATAAATAAAAGTAAATGTTACAATTAACTTGGCTTGCAAACTGTTCCGTTTGTCCTTTCTGAAATGAACTAACCCTGACCCATTTTAATTTGTTTCAAAACATAGTAACTTGCACAATTTCTTTTTCCTTCCTTAAAAGATCTTGGGTTTGACTCAGAGCTGTAAAATGTTCAAAAGAATTTGCACTGATCTCATGAAATAAAATTTGTTTTACGCATTGAATGATAATACAAATGCTACATAGAAAGAAAGCATGTAGCTTTATTTGTAAAAGAAAGCAGGTCAGAGAAATTCCGATTTTTATTTTATAGCATCATGGTCTGGAATAGCTAGCCATTGTATTTGCCATCTTCAGTGCGTTTACATCGCAGGAGCCTTTGGATCTTGTATGACTTGTGTAATTCTGAATCCTACCAAATGAAACAAAACTAATTTAATTAGTAAATAAGCACACTACTAAGGAAAAAAATGAACATAAATGCAAGGACCATATATTGGAAAACATAAAGATGTTTCGAATTTACAAATTGTTGGTTGTTAAATTTGAATGCAACTTTATGCAAGGATGATGATGGACTAAAATCAGCAGAGCTTCCCTCAACAACCAATTTTTCTGTTTAATGAGTACAGTTAAATACAAAAAGAAGTATAGTTAAATTAGACAGCTTTGATCCGATCAGTGTTAACTATTGTCCAAAGAGGTATTGAGATAATGGCATCATTCTTATACTAGAAAAGTAAACAAGATCTACCTGTTGAATTATTGCGGTGAACAGTCCCTGACAATAAATTGTATGAAACATTCCTGAAAAATCATCATTTGCATGTCAATAAAAGGAAGGAAGGAAGACAATCAGAAATAACTGGTTTCTTTCCCCGCAAAACGTCCTATAGTTAGAATAGCATAGCATTGGAACTATTGTCGTTATTTTTCTGTTTGTGCTAACAGTGTCAACTTTAGAAGCATCTGCGTGCACAGATGAAAGACGCCGCGCCCTGCGTGCCTAATAAACAAATCCCTATAAAAACTGTAAAATAGAAGCAATAAAGTTTCAGGAAGTAGGTTGACTCACAGGATCCTCAATCTTCCTGTAGTAATGAGGTTAATAATAGATGTTGGTATTGTTCCGGTTAGCTTATTACCGTGCAATCTCCTGGAATCAGAAAACATGGAACGGTATAATGAAGAAACTACGATGGTAAATACTTCTCAAACATTTGTTCAAATGGTCCAAAAGGTATCGGATATACACTTACATGAATAACAATGATACCAAGTTGCCAAGTGAAACTGGAATTGGGCCTGTCAGTTTATTATGGTACAAATCCAAGCTGACTAGATTTGTTAGATTACCCAATTCTGTAGGGATAGTTCCAGTGATATTATTGCCAAATACCTCCCTGCAAGTAAATAGAATATCAATGTCAAGACATGCAATGGCATAGTTATGTACTTTGTCCATCTATCTTGTCAAAGAGAAATTGGGGCTTAGACTATCAGATGTTATGTTAGTAGTTCTTAAAAAATATGGCATATACTTTCCAAGCTAAGATATGAAACAAAACAGATAAAAGGCTTACAAATATTGAAGATTAGCCAAAAGCCCAAGCTCGGGGATAAGAGGACCTGATAATCCAGCATTGCCAAGGTCCCTTTAGTGATCAAAATCCAACTTTCAAGTCAGCATAAAAATTTAATTATTCTCGAAGTAACAAGAACGCAAAACCAAGCTTTCTGGTTTAAATTTTGAAGACAGAGAGCATGCATCAAATTCAATAAGAGTAACGTACACCCTAGTTACGCTGTTATTGTTGTTACACGTGACATGAAACCATGTACATGGATTGAATAGCGTTGGATCCCAGCTCTGCAGCACATTGTTTGGATCAACCAGTTGGGTTTTCCAAGAATTGAGAACATCCCCTGTACATAACTAAGCCTGTTAGTCATTTTACTAGAAGAGGAAAGACACACAGATATTAACCAACTCAAATCAAAATTTCTTGAGCATTATGTGATATTCTCAGTAAAGATTGGCAAAATTATGGCGGCGAAGGACAAATTATGTGAAGATGGTGTAGAATATAGTGGGGTTTCCTTACCTTCCTGGTTACATTCCACGTTGGCAATGGCAACAGCAAGTAACAGGCAAACTAGAATTCTTGATGCCATAGTGGACTAAAATAGAAATTAAAGCAATTAGATGGCTTTTCTGTGTAGGCACTAGGCACTTAATTCATTACTTATTTATAAGCAGAGCAGAGTTAGAAGACCATACGAGCGATCACTGGTTACTTAACATTGGATTTACTTCAGATTAAATTACTCGATAGCCGCCACGGATACTAGCATATTGATGAACTCTAGAATTTTCAACACATTTTTATGTTTTCTTTAATAGAAACAAAAAGAGTTTTTCAACGATCAGCTTATCCACACCAATGCAATCACGCAGAAGTATTCCGGTGCTCCCTAGTCAAAGTGAAGTCGATCATAAAAAAAGTGAGTTTTCTCAGTTTTAAAGACGTAATAAACTATTCGTCATGGCCTGTTCCTGCTTTGACTTTGAATAGAGCCTCGCTCAGGAGTCTTTGCATCGTTCCCGCGTGCAGATACTGTTACTTCTAGACAAGTAGAATTATCCAATGTCAAAACCAAACTACGGAAGTCGAACGGGGTTGTTTATAATTACATAACTAAATTCTCATTTATCTTTTGACACCTTCAAATTAGAAGTTTCTAATTAACTTTGACAACCGGATTGTCCCGTGGGAATTAATCCATTTGGTTTACCATATGCTTTTAATTAGCACTACTTTAATGTTGTTATATAATTCAAATGTTTTGAAGAGGATATATAGGATTCGAGCTGGAAGTTGAATATTCTGGACAGAGGGATGTGACTACTGAGTACACTAATGGTACGCCAGCCACAATCACATAGCACTTGTAGACGGTATTTACCTGATCCAGCAGCACTAACTGTTGAGAAATCGAGAGAGAAAGAGAGAGAAAGAGCAGATTTGAAAAATGTGTATATTATGCTTGTTACCGTTGTAACAGAACCAACATCTTACTTATATACATGTAGCAGAGCAATGCTCCTCTGTTTCTCGGACTAATCAACCTATCGTGCATTCTAATTATATTTCATACTTATACGGTATTAAGTACACAATACACTATAAAATATATTCTCAATACTCCCCCTCAAGTTGGTGGTTTATACATGTCATAAACACCCAACTTGAGCATGAGATAGTGATGAATTTTGCTGCCAAGACTCTTGGTAAAAATATCCGCAACTTGTTCCCCTGTCTTGACAAACACTAGTTTGATTAGTCCTTCCTTAAGCTTTTCTCTAACCAAGTGACAATCTATCTCAACATGCTTGGTTCTTTCATGGAAGACTGGATTAGATGCAATGTAGAGAGTTGCCTTGTTATCACAATTCAACTCTGCTGTGTTCACGACCGCCACCCGAAGTTCATCCATCAAACCTATCAACCATGTAATTTCACATGTAGTTGAGGCCATTGCTCAATATTCGCCATTGTCGACGAACGTGAGATAGTGTGTTGTTTTTTTGTTTTCCAAGATAAAAGTGAGCTCCTAGGAAACACACAAAACCATGTCAATGATCTTCTTGTCATAGGGCAAGTTGCCCAATCAGCATCACAAAATACCTTAAGTTGCGGAGGAATTGAAGATGACATTAAAATCTCAATACCCGGATTACCTTTAAGATACCCGAGCACCCTCACTCGCTGCATTCATGTGTGATGTCTTCGGTTGATGCATGAACTGGCTGAGTTTTTAGACGAGCATAAGTGATGTCCGGTGCAGTGACGATCAAGTAAATTAGCTTACCAACTAATCTTTGATACTCGGTGGGATTGGCCAGGAGTGAATCGGAATGTGTGTTATGCGTTAGTTCATCATATTGTGCTTGTAGTGAGCTTTAGATTCTGTTCGAGGGGCATCTCCACGGGTTTAACACCAAGTAGACCGAGCATCATTCAACAATTCCAAAGTGTATTTCCTCCGGTTCAAGCAAATCCCCGTAAGAAACCTAGCAACCTCAATTCCTAGAAAATACTTCAAGTATCCAAGATCTTTAATGTGGAAAGTAACATACAAGAAATCTTTTAGTTTTTGTATTTCATCTACATCATCCCCGTAATCAAGATGTCATCTACATACACTAACAATATAACCTTTTTTCCATTTGTCATGCGAATAAACATTGAATAGTCATACTTGGATTGAACAAACCCGAGCACAATCATTTTTTCGGTGAACTTGGAGTTCCACTGTCTTGAAGCCTGTTTTAAACCATAAAGGGACTTCAACAATCTACATACCAAACCCTCTCCCTTAGTGTGAAGTCCAAGTGGTAAAGACATGTAAACTTCTTCATGAAGATCACCTTGTAAAAAGGCATTAGTGACATCCATTTGAAATAGGGACCAACCATAGATAGCAGTTATGGCAATCAACTGTTCGACGGTGACCATCTTAACCACCTGGAGAAAATGTTTCTCCATAATCAATGCCCTCTTGTTGGGTATAACCCTTAGCCACAAGTCTAGTCGTATACCTCTCAACGACTACCATCGAATTGTACTTCACTTTGTAAACCTATTTGCATCCTATAGGTCGCTTATTAGATGGTAAAGGTACTAAATTCCATGTATTGTTCAATTTAAGAGCTTGAAGCTCCTTGGACATAGCATCAACCCATCGAGGATTAAAAATGGCTTCGAGCATAAGTTTCGAGTTCTCGGATGGGAGAAATGAAAGCCAAAAAACGAGTATATGTGGGAGACACATTAGCATATGACGAGATAATTGGAAAGAGAATAAAGCACTAGAAGATATTGGAATGCAATTAGATTGAGGTAATGTGGGACAAGAATAATCAATTGACCGGACGAGTACTTTAGAGACTCGAGAAGAACCGCCTAAGGGAAGTAATTCGGACATGACGGGAGACACGGAAGAGGTAGGAATAGAACTAAGGGAATGATGCGGAGATGTTATGAGAAGAGAAGAATCGGAGGAACTAGGAGCGAGAAGACAATGAAGTAAAAAGATCGGTAATGTGAGTAGGAGGAACTTCATCATCATACTCGCCATAGGGAAGTAGGATTAGCGAAGCGGGGTCCCCATGTGAAGTAGTCGGTGTAGAAGAATAAGGGAAAATGAATTCATGAAACTGAACATCTCTAACAATAAAAAAAATATGAGTAGCTAAGTCCATCACCTTATATCCTTTTTGAAAATAAGGATAACCCAAAAAAATAAAGGTTTGGATCGTGGAGCAAATTTGTCGGGACAATGAAGAACTTTGGCATAACATAAGCATCCAAACACTGCGAGATGCTGAAAGGATGGAATTTTATGATATAATACTTCAAATGGAGTTTTTCCATGCAAAAGAGGTGTGGGAGTCCTATTGATAATGTATGTGGCAATTAAGACACAATCCCCCCAAAATCGAATAGGAACTATGGATCGAAACATAATGGCTCTAGCAATGTTAAGGATATGTCTATGCTTTCTCTCCACAACACCATTTTGTTGAGGAGTATAAAGGATAGTGGTTTCATGAAGAATGCCTTTCGAAGAAAAAAATTATTAGCAAGTCAGTTCGCATAAACTCATAGCCTCTATCAGTCCTAACCCATTTGATTGGACAAGAGAATTGTGTGTGAACAAGGGCATAAAAATCAATGAGTAATTGAAGTGTTTGAGATTTGGATTTCATGAGGAAAGTCCACGTTCCTCCGGAAAAGTCATATACTATAGAGAGTAAATATTTCTCTTGATTGTAGTTAGGATGTCTATAAGGTCCCCATATATCTAGGTGAATCGGTTCAAAGATGAAATGAGTAGTAGAGGTTCTTGATGGAAATGATAATCTGGTTTGTTTTGCAAATGGACAAACATCACACACCAAATAACAAGTGGGTAAAGAGAATTACAAGTCGGGCATCATATGAAGTCTATTAAAAGAGATATGTCCAAACCTTTTATGCCAAAGTATTACTTCATCCTTGACAAAATGTGGATGAATGACAGCCTTATTACATGAAGGAGAATGAGCGAGAAAACAAACAAGAAGAAATTTGATTTGGTAAAATTGAATCAAAAATATTCGGTAGAACATGATATAAACCATCCTTAAGTTTACCAATCCCCCTTGTCTTCCCAATCTTGAGGTCTTGAAAAAGATAGAAATGGGGGTAAAAGGAAGCAAAACATTGATTATCGGTAGTGAAACGAGCCACCGATAAAAGATTAAATTTGAAATCCGGTAAAAAAAAGACATCATGAAGACTTATTTGTGGAAGATTAACGGAACCTATATGTGTAACCAAAGTGCTCGCTGCCATTAGGTAATCGTACAATGAGATTAGATGCTAGTTTCCTAGGATTGTTCAAGATATTAAATTGACTAGTCATATGAATGTTCGCACCAATATCAACTATCCATTCATCAGCAAAAACTTTTAAATCAATATAACCACGAAGTAATTACTCGTCATATTCGCAACCAATTCATCTTTCCGGACAATTTTCCCCGAGGATGTGTTGTTAGCAACCAACGAAGTCCAAAATCTGTTGATATTGATGTTGAGAAAAAGCTGGTGCAAGCTTGTACAGATCGTTCCATAGTTAAGCCTTTGGCCATAGAATGTCGATCTCCCACAGGTTGTATTGGTAACCCTTGATGGTTGTAGGAAAGAGCATAATCATTTCTTATAAAGTTGGCATGATGTGCATTATAAGCATGATTTCTTTCTCCACCTCCAAACCTTCTTCCTCTAGTAGTCCCAACCATTCTATTACCGAATTTGGATAACCATGTAATTTGTAGTAAGAATCCTTGCTGTGACCGAAGTATAACGGTATTCACGGACAATATTTCTGCGTTAATTAGCTTTATCAAAGGATCGTTGGTTTGGAGACTTAGTTGAACGAATGCAATTGGTGTTTCTTGATGTATGTACATCCCTCGTTGTGATTCTTCATTTAACACCATTGAATATGCCCGTGAATGAGTAGGCGGAGGATTCATCAACGTAATCGTGATCTCACCTGGTTGAAAATGATCATTCAATCCCATCAAAAATTGCATCATTTTATGTTGTTGTGTATACTCCACA